AAGAAATGTGTGCTTGAAATGTTAAAAAAAAGTTTAGAAATTTAAACTTGATTGTGACTTTTATTTTTTTATTTTTTTTTTTGTAGTGCATATTTTTTTGAGATTATCTTGACTTTTTAAACCAAAACCCCTTAGTCAGATGTCTCAACTTACAAACACCATTGTTTACTTTTTAAAAGAGTTAGTCAACTAAATCTGTGATATTGCTATGACGAAAAGGATGATGATGCAAATTAAGATGAATAAAGCTTTATAGAAATCGCTTTATATATTATGTATACTTTCCCCATCGCTTACAGGGTATCATCACCAATTCCTTAGCAAGCCCACGTAAATTCCTTACCATCCAATTAGGGCAGCCTGCTTCTCCTCTTTATATATGTTAATTCCTCTTTACACATTTTTATTCGACGAAATTCTTTGGAATTTCCCAACAATGAAGATATGCCCCAAAGTATTTTGTGTCGAGCGCAAAGTTTCCGCATTTAAAATTAAGCTAACAAGCTGAAATCGCACCCGCACCACAAAGGCAGCCTCCGTCAGTCGAAAGGACACTCCGGCTAATGCCAATTATTGTAACAATATCGCAGGGACACAGGCTCAAAGTGGGCCCAAGGAAATGCCCAAATTGCTGGAAAAATGGCGAGCGACCATTAGGGTGGTATCTATTAACGAGCAAATGGGTGCTAGTGTTTTTGTTCGTGCTGCACCAGATTGAGTAACTTCTGGGACAGGCCTCACAATTTGTTTTCCTTTATGGGGGAATCCAGGGAAAAAGGAATCACTTGACTTGTCGCAGTTGTCCTTGTCGCTTCCAGAGACCCTGCTTTATGAGGGGGAGTGGGAGGGTGAGGGTGAGGGGGTTTCGAAAAAACTTGAACGCCTGTTGACACACACGCGAAACACTTGAGCGGCAAGGGAGTGGGGCAAAATACTTTGGTTTGCGGCTGCCGCTTGTAGCCGCCAAAAACATTTTGCTAACGATTTATGTCCGTTGCATGCTGACTTGCTCCTTGCCGCCCCCCTCTCCACATCGCCGCCCCTGCATCTTTCGCCCGCAGACAAATTTCTGCTACTTTTTCAGTCGAGTTGGGCTGCTTCTGGTGCATCGGTGCTTAATGGCGCATTGCCATCATATTGGGTTTCAGGACAGCCGCAAAACGGGGGCTTATGGAGGGATAGTCGATGGCGGCAATAGCTCGAAGCAATTAGTTTAGTTTTACGTTGAAGATTTGCCATCGCGGTTAAATGGGGCTCTTCGGTGGCAGCTTCTTCCTCGAACTCTCCGCTTTCACTTCTTTCCCCGTCTGGTGTTGAACTTTAAGTGGAAACAATGATGTCAGGGATTAGTTGGTGACTTAAGCAGCCAGGGGTTAAAGGGCTACATTGGAATTTGTTGGGGGAAATTCCAACGAAGCAAAGTGCATTTGTAAGCTGAGCCACCAAAGGGAAGATTGCAATTAATTTCATTCATTAACCAAATTAAGAAAATGTCTGCACAACAATTAAAATGGTATACTAACAAGTTTGTATTCATCCTATGAGATTTAATATGCTTATGGTTTTTATAGCATTTTGATTTAGTTCTGATTTGGCTCTTAAACTTATAAAGTCTTAAAAATACGCTCTTAAAATAACTTATTTACGAAGATTAAAAATTTACAGAGATTTTACAACTGACTAAAATAAGTACTGTTATCGTAGTTTTAATTTTTTTTATTTCACTTTATTTTAATTTTATGTTAGCGTGCTTTTTACAATGTCTCTCTGTTTCTCTCTTTTATCGTAAAGTGACCGTTCTCTGATATTCACGTTATCCTTAGCCTTTTTCAATATTAGTTTTACTTAATTCTATATCAAATCGGAACAGCGGGATTGGTACATAAATGTGGATGTTGGTACTTAATTAATATAACTTAGAAATAGCTATAGACATGTTAATCACATCATCATACACTGCTTACAGTACCATCCATTTTTAAACTCATTAACGCTTATTAATATTTAATGGAACGTAAAAGTGTAAACGTCTGGGCTAACGTTTTCGCAACCAACTTAATTGACAGAAAGTTATGTTAAATGGGAGGAGGGGTTATTTTTAAGTACTTATTCAGTTTATTTCCCTAATGAAATCTTTGATTTTAAAAAGTGGAACTCATCAATTAACCCGAAACCTTTCACCCCTCTTATACCAACACTTTTCAACCAGTTAGGAACATTTGCACTTCCTATTCTGTCCCCTTTTCAACGAATCCCTTTGGTGGGACAACTTTGAAAAGTTTTAATTAAACCAACTTTAAAGCTTTTAGGGTTTCTGCTGGTCAGTGCTGTCAACATGTGCCAGGACACGCCGGACAGGATAGCAAGGGACATATCCATGTTTCATATAAACTTCCCCGCTCCAACTTCGTCCATAATCCCTATGACCTGCACTTGGGCTATATTAAATCTGAGCTGTTTTACAACAAATTTGCCATTTACACATTTGGCCGAAAGTGTCACCAGAGTGGGTTCTGAGCTTTAAGCTTTACTGGGAAAACAAAAATTGCAAACAACCCGCAGGTTGCGAGGTTGAGAGGAGCAACTTTCCGTTGGAGCGGCAGAAGCAGATTGGGTTAAAGCCTAAAGTCCTTTAGCAGCCTGACAGCTGTGAAAAGAGGGGATATCGGCTGGTGGGCGAAGGAGATGCAAACGAGCCGTGGACAGAGGTCCAGAGACAATGGACCGAGGACACAGGACCTGTGTCAAAGTTAGCCAGCGAAGCGACAAAAAATGATGTATCAAACTGGACAGGAAAAAGGCAGCTGCGAGGGGGGCGTGTTGCTGGCCAGTTCGTCCTTTTTTGTATTTAAAGTAACACCTAAAAAAGCGTCAGCTGTGCTTCGGTGTCATCCTCATCCTTGGACTGTCATGTTGCGTCCTAAGTCGCATCACTGGGTTCAGGACAACTCCGGCTCCTCCTTATTTTTTGTTTTTTTCCTTGTTATTTGTGGTGCCCCATATCCAGAAACTCATCCAGTTTTTGTCGCTTTCTGCGGCTTTTTATTTGAGTTTGGTATTAGTTTTTGATTGTCTACCGATGAGTTTGGGGCTTGCTGTTTTTCCTTTATATCAGGGGGTCCTAATGGGGAAAAAGTAATTTATACTGGAATTCAGGTCGTTACAGGTCTAACATTATGTTAAGAAGTCAATTCTAGCATGCGATATTTGAGGACTGTTAAAGTTAACAAGGGTTGGGTCCTGGCTAAATATGTTACTGGAATGTTATCATACAACATACCTTTACAGACTGCAAACTGTAAATCGAGATGGAACATTGAGTTAAATTCAATGAGTTGAGCGTTTCCTGCGCTTTTCTGAGGGGCTCCCAGGGTCGTGGCGGATGTGGGGAGCGGGGCGCAACTTTTGGGGGTCTCACGTTGGGGGCCGAGTTCGGAAAACTGAGAAATTGGGGAAAAACCGGTAAAGTTCAGTTTGACGGTCTGGCAGCACTGTATTTTGCACATGGGTAACACACGCGATGGGAAAACTGGTGTATTCGATCACTTTCCACGGAAAACTGATCGCGGCGACCTGCCCCCCACCCCCGGCTCCCGTCGACGTCACTTTTTTCTCGCGGAAAATGCGGCGGAACGGAGAATTTCGCGACACACAGATTTCAGGTCCAGGCAGTGTGACCACCTTTGGGTTTAACGCAAATATAGGCACTTTCTGGCCACTTTCGCATGGCGTTACGGGACATTTTGCTGTTTCTCCAAGGTGGTCATACAGTTTTGGCGCCGTTGTTTAAACTTTTTAAGTGACAATACTTGCGTTTTTTATATAATGGACCTTTTCAGGCTTAAATTCTTTGCCATGCCGCACCTGCGCGCCCAGGTGGAAAAGCACCTCCCACAGGTGGATGATGGAATGGTTTGTAACTGAACATAAATGTTACTTCAACGTTTTTGAAATTATTTAAAGTTAGAAATGAGAAACTACAACTAATGAGAAGACCCTCATTTGTTTAAAATTAAATGATAAGAAAGTGGATAAATTTTTGTATCTCTATGTACAACCTTTTTTGACTTATATATATTTACCCAACTTTTTCTTGATTAAACCAACGACTTTAGTACCTAATTCCTGGAATGGTTTCCCTGGTTAACCTACTCCGCATCCCTTTAATTTATCATTCCGAAGTATCTAAACTTTTGCCGTTTATCTCACCCATTATCTCCATCACTGTCCGAATCCACCCCTCTGAGGGCTCTCTTTAATGCCGGCCCAAGTGTAAACAGCAAAAACTAATTGTCTAAGGGCACGCAAAATGCTTCTTCAGTTTTCCGCCCCCGCTTTTCCCTCATTCTATAGATTTTCATCGCACGCCCTTTTGTGTGGGATATTTATGGAAGCCAAAGGAGCCAAGCAACTTTAACTGGGTAAACACGGCGGAAAGAAAGTTTCATAAATTACAACACATAAGCCGGCTCAAAATGGCCGAAAATGAGAGGATGAAAGGGGAATCGAAGGGGCGCTGCAGCCTCAGCTGTTCGGTTTTCATTTGCATTTCGGAGTTCTGGTCAAGGGACGCGCCCTTTTTATGCCCTGCTGGATTTTTCCCTATTCTCCCACTGCCATTCGGTTGTAAACAAATGCTTTCCACCCTGCGGAGAGGCGGCGGTAAAGTCAACAGAGTTTATGGCAGCCTTTTAGGCGGCACTGTTAACTCGCACGCTCGCCTCCCCGAATTTCTCTCTATCGATTTGTTATTCATGCTCTGCGCAATCGCCGCTCAAATGGGGCTGCAAACTGGGACCGGGAAATGTTTTTTTGGGCGATATAGGGTGCGAAATTCCGGTTATGTCCGCCCAAAAGTCACCCTGTCACAGCTCAAAGCATCAAATTAGCACACAACAGAGCGACAGCCTTTGCAGCTTTTATGGCAAGCGCTTTCTCTCACCAATACCAGCACGTAAACGCTCTCTCACGCTCTCTCACGTACGCCTTTCTCTTTGCAGGGGTGGTATGTGGATAAATTTTAGCCGCCATGGATCCCAGTGCTCTACAAAACATGGATCGGGACGCATTAAAGAAGCAAATCGAGAATATGAAATATCAGGCCTCCATGGAGCGCTGGCCGTTATCTAAATCCATAGCAGAGTGAGTAAAAATAATGACAAGAATATTATTTAAAAATTAGTTACCCAGTGAAAAGTGATGGTAAATGGAACTTAACAAAAGATGAATGGATTACGCTTAGGAACTGTGCTATTTTCTGTGTCCGCGATTGAGTGTGTGTGTGTGTTTGTGTGGCTGGTGTGACCTACGACCCCATTAACCATTTGCATCTCGTCTAGACTGGGACAGAGAATAAATCCGAGATTTTTTCACATTTGCTAAGTGACTGCCCGCAAAATATTCGCACACGTGTGCTAAAATCCAGCGCCCGAGTTGGCCAAGAATTTCTGCCGCTTGTTGGCTAAATATTTACACAAAACCTAACGCTTCTTTCGAATGACAACAACTGCGTCGTCTCAGGACTCCCTTTCCCTGTGTGTGTGTGTGTGTGTGTGCGGTCTGTCCATGTGTGTGTTTATGTGTATGCCCTTGTGTAGACAGCGGCTAGACACGAGCGGAGCCAGCCCCCCTTCCCTCCCATCTGCCCCCTCTTGCTAGCCAGGAAAGGGGAAAGACGTCAAGTGAAATTCCCACTTCGATACAAGAAATTACTCAGGAAACGGTTTGTGAACGGGTTTGCCAAGATGCGAAGGTGCAAAGGAGACGGATGGCCGCCGTCGGTAAATTGGTTTTACTGAATGACAAATTCCAGTCCCGGCAATTACTGCTGAAGGCTTTCCTGCCATTGCTTTCATTTTCATTAGCAATTCAATGAATCGGACACGGCTCACAATGGAGAGCTGGCAGAATGTCTTGGAAATACAAGAATTCAAGGTGTTTCTGTTTGATTTCTAAGGAAAGGACTCTTGCTAATTTATTTTTCCTGAACTCACCTTGTTAGTTTAATAGCTTAAATCAGCAAAATACATTTTACTGCCATGGAAATAAACTTAGTTTTTACCTCTTTGTTCAATATCACTCACCACAATAAAAGCTGTATAGATTAGGACTCTGCATGAATGAATAGTGTTCTTCCACATATGTTTCTGTGATTCATATGGTAAAATAATTCAATCATTTGAAACATTATGAACAAAACTCATCGTTGCCTTTCTGCAGTTGATATATTTCGGCAGTATGTTATCTCCAAATTTGCAAGCACAGAAGTAACATTGTTTCATATGTTTCAGTGATTCATATGAATCGATGATTCAATGTTTCGAAAACTGGAAACATTATAAACAAAAAAAAAAAGGTATTGAAGATTAGTTCTTTTACGATTCTTATCTCGAAACTCAAAAGCCAATTCTGCCTAAAAAAGTAAATTAATTCTTTCTTTGCCGCAATGATTTTTTTACCAGGGAAACATTTGCTAGTTGCTAAAAAGTATTTGTCGCTTTCAACATATACTTCTTAATTTTATGAATGGAATAGTTTTTTTTAAATAAATAACAAATAACTTTTTCGAATAACAAATTTTAATTAACAAACCGTGCTTTCATTCCAATCAAGCAAAATATTTTGCGTTTTTTTCAAAACATACCTATCGATGTCAGGAAAATGTATCAGCCATGAATAGAATGTTTTTCTATTTGTACATTTTAGTTTGCTTATTGATAGTACCCTGGAGTTGTATATGTGGTCAACAATAGTTCATGTACATTTTCCGGGTATCTGGTCAGGCTTTTACTTGTTTTATTTCAAACTTTTGTAAGCAGGAACAAAACCTTCATCATAAATCACAATTAACGCTGCTGCTTTTTAATGGCCAGCTTTTAATTTAGCTCTGAGCCCGAAGGCAAATACCCACCCTGCAGAATAACCCACATTTAGCCCCACGGATTGCGTTTCTAATGTCATCTTTTAAATAAACACCCAACTGAGGCCGGAGCAGACGTCCTCTGATTTAGTTAAACATTTAGTCAGCAGCTAATTATGAATAATTAATTGGCACACAGTGAATCTGCGTTGCTTTCGCTCTCTCTCTCTCACTCTCTCACACTCTACCCATCTCTCTTACTCATCCGGCTTGGTGGCTCATCTGTGACTTAATGTGGCCCAAACTGGCTTTCAGTGTGTGCGTTGTTGGCCGTTGCCAGCGGCTTTCATAAATAATTTAACACCCAACTTTAGAGTCGGTTACCGCTCTGCACCCCCCCCTTCAACTCCCCTTTAGACGTTGTTTGGACTCCACCCATCTGCCACGCCCACTTTCGCCCAGTGCCAACCCCCTCAAAATTTGCCAATGTGCAGTTGAAATTCTGTTTACTAATTTGCAACACGTCGAGATGAGGCTCTTTTCAATTAGGGAAAATCAGCTCACCTTTTGCATTCCTCTCAGCTTATTTCTCTTCATAATTCAGTTGTTACTGAGTCACGTTGGCTCTTAAATTAGAGGTGTTAATTACAAAAACGTATTTGGTAATGAATCCAAAAGCTGTCAGGGATGGATGTGAAGAGTAAATAACCATAATGCTACTTAATGCGTTCACATATGTGAGAGATACTTATAAAGTGGTTGTATTTATCTGGTTAATTCAAAGTTTAAATCGCTTTATTAATTGTCAAATCCTTTTCAAACCGTAATGGTTTTTAAGCCCAAGCAAAAAAAAAAAGTTCAGCTTAGTAAAATGAATTGCAAATCACTTTTTATGAGAAATTACTATAGAGTATAGGATATAGCAGCAAGTAAATTGTGAAATAATTCTTGCCTATTTTGAAACCATTTTAATTTGATTTTCCTACCACAAGTTGATGAAATAATCACAAAGGCAAACTGGCAATTAAAAAATGTTTCCAATTATAAAATGCCCAACCGCAAAATGTATTTTTTTATTTATATTTCGTTTACATTTTTGAATATAAAGTGTCGCTGGCGAACACAAATGAAAATCTATAGGAACAAGTCTGCATCAAAGGAAGTTTAATTGTTCAAATTTTGATTTGGTTGCAGATTGTCTTTCATTATTTTTTCCATTGAAACATCAAATATTTGTCACTTAATCAGTACACAAAACGGGGCAAATTAGACGGTCATCACTCATTGACATATGTCAAACTCTGCAAAGTCAAAGTCAATTAAATTTTGAGAGCGGTATCGCAGCGATCCTGATTTCTGATTGATGGGCGCAATTGCACAGGACTGACCACAAATTGTGAGCCAAAGGATGGTGGAAGTGGGTGGGTATTGGCATGATGACTGGTTGGTTGGGCGAAGAATGTACTCGTTAAGTGCAGCAAACACCGCACATTACGCCGATTTGTTGCAGGCAACGTAACGAGGAAATGGAACCCGAAACCAGTACCACTACACTCCTCCGTTCTACGTTCTGCAGTCCATGATTGATGAACGTCCATGGGTTTGTGGGCTGGAACCACAGAAACCACCGTGCGTGACAAGCTCCTGCCCGCAATTTCCCTTCGCTCCGTTCCGTTCTGTTTCGTCCTGTCGGCCGTTCGGGTGTCGTAGACAAAATGTTGCATACCCAAAGGCGCATACATTTCACCTTAATTTTTGGTCAGGACGCTGCTATCCTGGGGCGGGCACCAGGTTTCATTCATTCAAAACTTTGCCATCCAGAGAGCGCTCAGGTGTCCGGAGGAGAAACTTTTACTTTACATCGCATAAAATGAATTTTGGTACGCTCCACTCGGAAACTTCTTTAGTTTCGTTGTGAATGGCAATCAGCTTGGTAGAAATCCACGTGTAGCTCCTAAATTATATTTTGTGTTTTTTAAACATCTTCTTGGCTCGTGGGCTTTTCTTGCACACGAAGTTTATCTGCAGTCACTGCTGAGCGGTGACGGTATTTTATCGCGATTCTTATAACAATAAGCAAGTTTTAAGCTGTTTTGTGCTTTGCCCCTCGCCCTGCGCGTCTGCGCGAGCGAGAGGTTGTCATCGACCTGTCTCTCAGACTTACATCGTCCGATATAATGGAGAATTTACCTGCTCAATTGCGCCCCAGTAATGGATGTGATAAGTTTGAGGAGATGAGGAAAGTAGCTGATGCAGACCCTGAAGAAATACGCTGCCAGCTCCGCGCTAAGCGTACAGATGTAACTGCTTTACTCGCAGGTATGCCAACACAAGCAACGACCTCCTCGTTGGTGGCAATCAGCAGCAACGCCACTACAAGTGTAACCTGCACCATCTCCAACGTCCAGGCAAGCTTGGTCTGTACTCCAACATACACTGGGTCTGCAATCGTGGCACCTAGCATTTACCCAACTATGTCTGACAATAATTTAACAAAATGCATCTTTCAAGCAGACAATCGGAGTATTAATAGGAAACGCAAAGGAGTGACTAACTCCCCTTTACCTGTCCTGTCTCCTCCTCCGATTCGCAAAACTAAACGGCAGGCCACTGCGACTCCCAATGAGGCGGCCTCTACATCCGCTGCACCGACATTCGGAAACAATCGCTTTGCGATTCTGGCTGCTGAAGCGGAAAGTATGGAGCAAGACATGTTGGATGACAATGATGAGTCTGATGCCCCCAATGGAGATAGACAGCCTACAAAATCTAACAAGATCCCTGCTATTTGTGTACCGAACGTAAGCGATCCGGTCTTATTGGAACAATCTCTTGACCTTAGCATTGGCTCCAAAAACTACAACATCCGCACTTCCAAATTTGGTGTATCCAGAATATATACAGCCAACTCAGACGCTTTTCGGCTAGCTGTAAAAACACTGACAACTCTTAAGTGTAAATTTTGGCACCATCAGTTAAAAGAAGACAAGGCCTACAGAGTAGTTCTGAAAGGACTCCATACAAACGTTCCGAAATCTCAAATAACACAGGGATTTACTGAATTCGGCTTTGAGGTACTTAACATATACTGCCCCAAAAAGACTGATTGGAAGAACATCCAGGTGAACGAAGATGATAATGAAGCTACAGTAAATTATAAAACTAGGCAGAATATGTTTTATATCAACCTTAAGCAGGGTGCAAACGTCGCAGAGTCCCTAAAAATTACGCAACTCGGGAGATACAGAGTCACTGTCGAGCGTGCACCCCGTAGAAAAGAATT